TCAGGCTCAGGACGAGTGAGTTTTCTTCATTTTTTACAAACGTAACCTCCATACTTGTGTTTTCTCCTGTATTGTGGGGGCGATTTGCATACATATGTAGCACAAGACAGGTATTCAGATCCGTAGTAATTATTTGTAGGTCATACAAACATTCGTTCCTTGAGGGATTAGAACCCTTTGGCGACTTTCTTAACAGCGGTGATGAAGCATAGCGGTGCGTACACATTATATAACATAATATGTTATAAAACGTTGTTATATAACATGTTTCATTAATGTGGACGTTGTATGTTATAAAACGTGTTATATAACTCGAACGGCAGAATGACAAACGACAATGTCATACGACAACGCCATATAACATTGTTATATTGCATTGTTATTCTAATGTGTACAGTATTGTTATATGTTGCAATGTTGAAAAACAATGTTACATAATGTGGACGTGTTATAAAACAAAAGTTGTACAACATGTTATTTGATCTGTACGCACCCTTAGATTGTAAATCGCACTGTCTTAGCGAAACACTCTACTTACTATTCACTCGTAATTGGAAGACACCCAGATTGTAATCAGATGGAAAGAAAAATTATATCAATCCTTTGCTGTACACATTACAAAGGACGAATTGACAGAATTGACCTACCAGTCTTTATCATTCGCATTAGAGCCTTTCACAAGTTTACTGTTGAGCACTTCCTTCTCTAAGTAATGTTACAAAACGGGGTCCTGAATCACCTGTGCCCATTAACTACGTGCATATTTTACCAGGTCGTCCCCACTACCTGGTGGGGCCAGCGGCTGCCATTTCGCTTGCCCGTACAAGGCTGCCATTCGGGAACTTTTCTTCGACTTACATAATAATAATATTTGCTTAGGATCATAATATAATGGCTTCTAGTCCGAAATTCATATCCTATTTAATTTAGACCCGTATAGTTGATTTAAACTTTAAAACATTAGGCAGAATTTTTTATATATAAAACAATTAACACGATATTTTTTCAGATCTTTATTAGTCCTTACTTAAATCTGAAACTTTTTAGTTCTTAAGATTAATTTATAACAACGCGACTGCGCAAAGTTGAGATTAAACACGTCTTTCTTTAAAGACGTCCGAAAATATTTCTTGCTAAATCGGATGCATAAAAAGGTTAATCGTGTAGAAACACTGCTACATTTTACGGTCGTCAACACAACATTATGTGGTAGAGATTTACGTGGTAGAGCCATGCTGCAGCTATATTAGTAGTATAGTTGTAGCACGAATGGGTCGGCTCGACCGGGGAAAACCAGCGTAAAGTAGCAGCTTAACCCTGCTGTGTTTCGTATGGTGAGTGTAGAGAACCGGAGACCTTTTTTACTGTGACCTTTAGTCCTCACGGGTGAGAACGCATCTGCATCTTGAGTGTTTATTGAAGATAGATGTAGATGTCTATGGGTCACAGTATCCACTTACCAGGTGGACTGTGTGCTCGTTTGTCATCCTATCCTATAAAAAAAAGAAAAAAAAAAGAATGACAGCGTAGCGTAAGTGAATGCTAAGGTGTTATAAATGTAATAAACAATAATATTTATTATTTATATATTTAAAATGTAGAAGTTTTTATGTTCTATATATATACGACAGGCCACGCAAAAACTTTTGAAATAAGTGGTTGTGGTTGTCGAATTTTGAAAGAAGAAAGCGTGGTAGCATAAGAAAAGGTGAATTACGTACCATATATTTACATACGATTCAGCACATATTGCAGATTGAATAGGGAAGGGTTGACGAGAGATTTTACGAACACATTCGCGTGGTGGGTGGGGATAGTTTCGCGTTAGGTTCCATAACATGATTCCTAGATTTTAAGTAGACTCGTTTCGAACTATTTACGACGTTATTACAGATTACAGATAATTACAAGTGAAAAAACAGTTGACGGTTTGGATGTTTCAAAATGGACCAACGTCTTAACAAGTGAAGAGATTGAGAAAGATTTTGTTGCTCTTCTCGATCGCTTCGAAGCGTGGCTCTACTACATTTTTCATGATGTTACTAATGTCTTTCACCACCGACTGATAATTATTTGTACAAACCACGAATTTTTCCGATCGTATCTTATAAACGTACATTATGGGAATGTCTCCTGTATATATATTAGCGTCTACTTACTGTCGCCTGTCTGGAAATCGGCCAGGAAGACATCAATTTCATTTGTCGATTAAAAGTTAACAATTTGTAAAAAATACATGACATCTCAATGTTTCAAATTCAGGCACAATATTAAAAATTACATAAAAAAACAAATCCTATGAAATAACACAAATTCATTACTTTTGTTAAAAAAAGTAATAAATATATTTCTTTATCTGTAAATTGTGATCATATATTTATCTATGTATAACAAGACGTTTACAGCGGTGATACGCCGGAAACAGTTCCACTAAACATTGAATCGGAAGACGTACGCATCGTAAAAATAGCGGTGATAAAATCTGTGCGCACTGCAATAATAAGATTCTAGAACATGCGCCAGCGATAATTTTTGAACATATATTTAGCATTTTCTGTACGTTTGTGAATGTAGTAATTTTCATTAATATTATTATTTAATAAATATAATTTCTAAGGCGATAAGGATACTTCATCATCATCATTACAGCCTTTCACACAAGTCCACTGTTGAACATCCTCTCCTAAGGAATACCACAAAGCACGGTCCTGAGACACCTGAATTCATCGACCGCTTGCATGTCTTACCAAGTCGTCACTCCATCTAGTGGGGAGTCGCCCTACACCTCGCCTACCGGTACGATCTTAATTTAGCAACCCGGAAGTTCACGTATATATACGATACGTTGTCCTCCGTCCGTAACAGCCAAGATTTGATGAGAGACAACAACATTGCGCCAATCTTAATAGCTCAAGCTTGAAATCATAAATCGGTGATTTGATGGCACGTAAAGAAGTTTGGCACGTGTCGGTAGATAATAATTAATCAAATGATCACAGTGTTTAATGTGTACATTAGAATTTTAGTTAAGAGAATTCTGTTTCATATTATCTCACTAGGTGAAAGGACCCTTTTTTTCTGAGTTTACTATATGGTCTTGTTTACTTCAGGAGATAAGCAGTAATGCACTCAGTGTTGTGTTCATAAGTCCTTCTAAAACAAACGATTATTATGCGAACTTTAAACGTTACGAACCATTTGGAATTAACAGTACACACACATCTAGTTTACACGATGAAGAAATAATTATACACCTATTTCCGGATCAGATACATAAGTTTTATGTACACCCAGTGAGTGTTGCCAGTGATGACATACGGAACTGAGACGTGGTCCTTCACTGCTGGCCGGATGAGGAAGCTCAAGGTCGCTCAGCGAGCTATAGAGAAGGCTATGCTCGGAGTTTCTCTGCGTGATAAACTTAGGAATGAGGATATCCGCAGTAGAACCAGAGTAACCGACATAGCCCAACGGATTAGTAAGCTGAAGTGGCAATGGGCCGGCCATATAGCTCGAAGAACCGACAACCGATGGGGAAGAAAGGTTTTCGAGTGGCAGCCTCGTACCGGTAGGCGAAGTGTAGGGCGTCCCCCTACGAGATGGAGTGACGACCGGGTAAGACATACAGGAAGTCGATGGATGCAGGTGGCTCAGGACCGTGCTTTGTGGCATTCTTTGGGGGAGGCCTATGTTCAGCAGTGGACTTGTGAAGGGCTGTAATGATGATGATGATGTATACGATGTTGACGGCCGCTATGACGGATTTATTGGATCTTCCAAAATCGATATGAAAAACCAAATAATACAGACAAATTCCGTAAGTATACCCATAATGTATAATCCTACTAACGAAATTTTAATAGCTCCGCATTGTGAACAAAGAATTAGCTCATTTGTTACTCTTATGTTACTCTTACTCTTATGTTACTCTGATGTTAAAAAAATCTCATCTTTATAAGTAATTTAGTAGTAACTAACGCCCCCCAGGTTCGTCTGGGTGAGTTCTATTAATATTAATTCATCATCAATGAACATTTATTTACCATTTTTTCCATTAACGAAAAAAGACATCAAAAACAGCTTAGATAATTCCTGATTGTTCTCTATCTATTTGTGAACATTCATCACAATCGGTTCAGCAACACACAGACAGACAAGCATTTTACAAATGGTTATTCGCTGAAGTTCGTTAAAGGGCAGTTATTTCAATATACAGACGGACACATATTTTTTTATATGTGTGTTTAGATTAAAATTTAGAAGACTTAATTTTCTTTGTACAGCTTTTAAACCTCGTGTAGCTTTAACTAAATTATATCACTGCATTGCTATTGAATAAGAGCTATTGGATAAATTATTGTTTTATTTGAAAGTAAACTCTTAAAATGTTTGAAGGAGGCTTGAACCACAAAGTGCAAAGTAGTTTTGTATAAGAATTTTCTAATTAAAGACTTTCCTGCCCTGCAATAATTAAAATTGATCTTCTCACACCCAGTTATATTATAACACTAGCTGGCCAGGCAGACGTTGTTCTGCCCTTTCCGACGACCCTTCCTATAAAAAAAGTCCTTAAATTCGCAATAAATAATATTGAAGGGGTATTGGTATCGGGATAACAAGTATCCTATCTCTCAAGTTGGACCAAACTGCACACAGTGTGCAAAATTTCAATTGAAAATTGAATTGAAAGGAGTTCATCGCGGACAAACAATGTGACACGTAATTTTTATATATAAAGATAATATGCATTTTATGCAGTAAATGTTTTGAATTTTGAATGAGATCCGGCGTTACACAGATTGCGTCACGCACTGACGTGCATCTATAGAAAGTTTATGTATGTGCTTGAAAAATACATAAAATAGGTAACGTGACGTCGTTCGCCTCCACCAACGCCGCCTGGTTGGGCGGGCGGGATCCGCCGCAGTCTTCTGAGCGATATCGCCGCGAAAACTGGTCTGTTAGTGCGATTCAAACTTCACGTTCACAAATTCACAACAATGCCTGTACGTTGACTTGAATCTATTATACTTATTTTTTTAACTATTCAATACTAATTTAACCGACATAATATCAGTCATTTTACTCACAATTTAACTATTACCTATACGATAACATGTTAATGATATCGGAATTAATAAACTTACCATGATTAAATAATTAAAAACTTGTTTTGACTGCCCATCTTATAATATGTATTTTCAATACTAAAAAGATTGTTACCAAGTAGTTTTCGAGAAGATAAGATTTGACGTCAGTGCTATAAGATTTAGTGGCAGATTAATGCGCCGGCGCAGCTGCGTTTGTGAGCGTCCTTTAATCTCAAAAACGTTCCAGACAAATCTCTGTGAGATAACAGTCGTATGTTGGCGTTATTTTCGTAGATGATGCTGGAATATGCTCGCTTTGCCACTAAACGACAACTTCTTGGCACTGGAACGGATATTTTATGGCTTAGGTTCAAAAATATGTTTTTATTTGGAATTACTAATAGAAATATCATTTTCGCAGGCCAGAAACAAGGAACAAGAACAGGAAGTTCTAACTTGGATAAGTCAAGTGTTGGGGGAACCTTTACCTAATGGCGCTTATGAAGACATTCTTAAAGATGGCGTCGTACTTTGCAAGCTAATCAACAAGCTGTCTCCGGGTTCGGTGAAAAAGATCCAAGAAAAGGGAACTAACTTTCAGCTAATGGAAAACATTCAAAGGTATTTAATAAAAATCTAAATAAATAGTTTTTTTGATAATTTTATCATAAACTCTGTAAACAAAGTTTATTTTAAGATTGAATCTCGATAACTCAACGTTTCATCGTTTATTTTTAAATACCTATTTCAGATTCCAGGCCGCCATTAAGAAGTATGGAGTGCCGGAGGAAGAAATTTTCCAGACAGCCGACCTCTTCGAGAGGCGCAACATTCCACAAGTTACTTTATGTTTATACGCATTGGGAAGAATTGTAAGTAGTTAAAATATCATTGATATCAATCAAAAATGATATCAATCAGTGAGCCTGTTATTATTTATTAGTGCTAAGTTGCAATTATTTTAGTCACAAGTCAAAATTTCTTTATTATATAGATTAGGTTTATTTCAAGTTCATAAAAACTATAAAATATATAAGCGTAGGTACTACCGATCCGAATATCATGTTTGACCTCTTCAGAAAGAAGAAAATATCCGAGAAACTATAGGGTCGAATATTTTTTTAAATGCCATAGAAAAATTAAGAAATTTATATATATATAAATTTTTTAAATCATTATTCATTACAGTTTGTCAAAAGTCCACTGCTGAACATAGACCTTCTCCATAGGTTCCATAGAGGGAACTAAATAGAATATAAATAGACTAAGTAAATATCAGGACGATGCTGCTGTCCATTTCCTGTTTAATTTCCCTCTGTTGCCTCTTACGAAATCCACGGGTTGATATGGGATAGATGAAAGTGCAGCTCAAAAAATTTTATCTATAAACATATGCTTGTATATATTTTTTTTATTGTAGACTCAGAAGCACCCAGAATGGACTGGACCTCAACTTGGACCCAAGATGGCAGAAAAGAATGAACGTACATTCACCGAAGAGCAATTGAGGGCACACAACGCTGAACTGAATCTACAAATGGGTTACAATAAAGGCGCTTCACAAGCGGGACTCGGTTCATTTGGCAACACTCGCCACATGTAAATACTAATTACGTTAATCTAGGAAGGAGAAAAGAAACGGATTGTAGCCATTTAGCTTAAGAAAAAGATTATGACAAATTGCAGTATATTTAGACGTGCTTTTCAACAATTAACTTTTTGGCGGGAAAATATCAATGTTGTTATTTTTTTCTGGCTTCATTTATTAACTTTTTGCCAGCGCCAAAGTGTTGACATAAAGGCCGTTGCTCTATTTATTGTTTTATAAGGGTACTTGAGACCAATTCCGATTTATTTGGAGTCAGTATTTTTTATATCGATTATGGATTTTTTATATTTTTGTCAGTTATATTTTATTTGAGTGACTATTGTGTTTATCCTGTAAAATAATGGTAACTTTACTTTAATGCTGTATGTGTGATAAAATTTGTCACCATTTTCTTACGAAAGTATTACGGTAAATAGTGAAAACATTGATGTTAAATGTTATTGAAGAAATTCACTATAGATTACTTAATCAAATAAGAAGAATAAATTTATTTGTACTTTGTAAATATAATATTTGCTAAAATAAAACATTACGAAATTTTTATTTTAAATGTTTTTTTTATTTTTTTCCACTAATAATACGCGACCGCTAATATTTAACATATACTCTGTATCCGTTTGTCATTTATTTTCTTATAGTTTGAAGAAATTTATGTAATATGGCGGTTAAACAAATTTACCGTTTTAGAACATCACACCAATGAAATAAACATGTGAAACAGGTCATAAATATTATAAGAGTGCACTGTGACTAAAAGCAACCCATTAATAATAATGATAATAAACCTAGCAAGCTAACAGCATAGCAAAGTGGCGAAGCAATCAGCTTTGTAGCGGTTTCTAACGGTTGCCGTTGTGCAATCAGTTTCAAAATAGGAGGTTCAGATGCCTGGGTGATCAGTAATCGATTGCTGAAAACAGAATTTGAAAATTCAAAACCGTTCTCGAGATAATCGTGGGACAGACGGACAGACATCGTGAAATCAATAAGTGACTTCGCAAGCTTCGCCACTTAATAATTAAATAATTATATATTTATACCTACAGCCCAACCGGATGAGAAAACTATATAGATACCCCACATAATAATAATAATAATGTCTCATGTATACTTTTGAGCCGTGGTAGCTCAGATGGTTAGCGCTCGCTGTAAATTTAACAGTACGCAAGCAAACCCGGTTCGATCCCCGCCGGCACCAATGAAATTGTTAATTGCAATTTTAAGTGCTGATTTACCACGTGCTCGGCGGTGAAGGAAAACATCTTGAGGAAACCTGCATGTCTGAGAAATAAGAAGAAAATATATTTTGGAGACATGTAAAGTTCGCCAACACTCATTAGGGCAGCGCGGCGGACACTTCCTTGCCCTAAAACCCTCTCAGAAACCTGTGCCTCGCATCATTTCTGACTTTTAACTTTTTTATACCTTCGGCATACTCAGGTGGACTCAAGCTGAACTTGAACTTGCTGAACCCTGGATAGATATGCTATGATATGAGATCGTCGATAATGAGGCTGTACTTGCCGTGGAAACATGGTGGGCGTGGCTTTTAAGCGCGCTCACCATTCATAATCGCGAAGTGTGCAGCCTCCGTTATTACTTCCTGGCGAGATCGGATGATTCGCTTGCCCCTCTATCCTTAGCCAACGAGCATTGGCAATACCCGGCAATACAGAGCATTTCCGACCGGGAGACTGTATGGGCGGAGAAGGAGCTCCACGTGAGGTTCTTCAAGGCTCTACATGATATGATTTTTCAAGATTCTCAGGCATTCTCAGGAAGATCGCCAGGCTCTACTGGGACCGGGCCATCATCACAGACAGGACTATTCTTGCGAATAAGCCTGATATTGTGCTGATGGACCGGGCACAGTCAAGGATATTTTTGGTCGAATTTCGTGAAAGTCGAAGCAGATAAGAAAACAAAATATCTGGACCTGGCTCACGAGGTGACCGACATGTGGGGTGGTCTGCCAACCGAAATTATACCTGTAGTCGTCTCTGCGAACGGGCTAATCCCGGTCTCGGATCATCTGAGGTGACTGGGACTTCGTGACGGACCACTCCGGGCTCAAATGCAGAAGACGGTGCTCCTTGATACCGCCCGCATCGTCCGTCGGTTTCTTTCCCATTCCCCCTAACCCTCGGCCGTTTGGTGTCCCCTGTCGAGGGCTTTCATCTGGTTGGGCATTTACTTATTCATGTATTTTATTATTTATTTATGTTAGTATATTTAATATATATTTATGTATATTTATCATTTCCTTTTATATATTTATTCAGTCCAACCAGATGAGAATACTTTATGGATACCGAAAAAAGTATAATAAATTTATTCATAAAATCTTTCATTAAATAATATTGTAAATTTTTCCGTGTGGTAGCAGCGTGGTTAGAATTTTTTTCTCTATTCATTCATGTAATTGTACAGCAACTAAGTGTTCATTGATGGATGACCTAGTCTATCCTACGGATTGCAACAAAAACGACCGTTCTTTGATTAATCATTATTTGTATTTTGGTTTCAAATAAGTTTTACATATATAATAACCTTCCAGTATTATTGATATAAAAAAATATATGTAGTGAAACGGTCTCACACATAATAAGGTTACCGCAATTTGTTATTGACCATATACGGTATACATATGAATTTGCGTGAATTTGCTGCGTGTCATATTAAATCCTTCTTCTTCTACCTTTAATAAGAGATAAACCATTATCTCCTTAAAATAGATGCCTACATTAAAAATAATGATTAATTAAGCGACTCTGATGCAGCAGGAGAGTTTTCATCTATTACTGTGCCCAATAACGTTTTTGTAATTCGTTAATCGTCACTGACTAAAATTATATGGAAATTTGAACAGCGTTCATAACGGACATAAAATGTAATGGAAAAATGTCATACAGTCACTAGATAGCGATACGAATTCGATATGATAGAAAACTCATACTCAATAGGCTGAGGTTCGTAGATACTATAACAATATACGATACCGATAACAATATTGTTACGCGCCACTATTAATGTCTTGTACATGGCAACACTAGTTACACTAGCGCCCCCTAGTGTCGAGTAAATGAAAGTATTGCGCGCCACTATTAATGTCTTGTACATGGCAACACTAGTCACACTAGCGCCCTCTAGTGTCGAGTAGCAGAACTAGGAGAGTCGAGATCCTTCCAGAAATTTCGGGACCGATATGTACTCGAACATTCTAGATGTCGCTACAGTAGAAGGTTCTGGAAACTATCTGAGGCCCTATATAAGACCGGTATAGACCACGACCAGGGCAGTATTGAATTGGCGATACAAGAGAATACTTCGAAGCGAAATAACGGCGAACTGTGTTTTATTATTAGTGTGATTTTTGATTGTAATTAGTGTTGTGTAATTAAAGTGTCAATTTTGGTAATTCAGTCGGCAGTTTTTAATTGTCTCGAACCCGAAGCTCGTAACAATTGGTGTCAGAAGTTGGATCAAATATGCCGATTTTACCTAAAGACGACACGGAGGGTATCCGTACCCGAAGTCAACGCCAACAGGAGACGGACCAGAGACGATTTGGTAATGCAACGCCGCAAACGTCGGAGGGCCAGTTGCTAACCACGGAGGCTGGCCCGTCAGCAGCTCCTGCATCTGCAGCACCTGACTTGGGTGCTCTGATGATGATGCTGCAGGATCAGGCTCGCCGACAGGAGGAACAGGCCCGCCGACAGGAGGAACAGACCCGTCGGCTGGAAGAGCAGCTGCAGCGCGGTATGGAAGAACAGATGCTCCTCAGGAAGGACCTTCACGCTACCTTCGGGAAAGAGATAAAGGAGGTGAAGGATAGGGTTGCTCAACATGACAACCGCCTGTCGGAAGCTGAAACCCGAATCGACCAAGTGAACAATCGGGTTGACAACGTGATGGCTGATGTGAAGAAAACGCTGGACGACCTCAAACTTGGGGATGGAATCACAGCTCCCGTGGTAGCTACAACACCTTCGCTACGTGGATTCAAAGTGCCGCCGTTCGACGGGAGTTCTTCCTGGTCGGCCTACAAAATCCAGTTCGAGGCTGTCATGAAAGCGAACGGCTGGAATAAAAGTCAGGCCATGACTGCTCTCACCCTAGGCCTACGCGACCAGGCCTTAACTGTTTTGGAAGCGCTCGGTAAGGAAGTGACTTACGAGCAGCTCCTTGAGGCATTGGAGGCGAGATATGGCGATGCTCACCTGGAACACGTCTTTCGTGCGCAGCTCAAAGATCGCGTGCAACGCAGTAACGAAAACCTGCAGCAGTGGGCCCTTGAGGTGGAGAAGCTGGTTCGAAAAGCGTACCAGTCTGTACCTGTGCTCATTGTAGGGAACCTGGTGCAGACTTTCATCGACGGCATCCGCGACCTTGAAGTCAGAGCTGCTGTGAGGCTCGGGCACCACCAGACGCTTAAGGACGCCCTGACCCATGCACTGGAGGTGGAAGCCGTGCGGCAGGATCATCGTTCCCACCGCGTCAGGGAGGTTGCAGCAGCTGCAGTTCAGGACCGCAATAAGGGCTATAACCCTAGGTGCTACGGCTGTGGGGAAAGGGGCCATCTTCGATCCAGCTGCCCTAAACGAACTGTAGAAAGGGAAGGTGATCGATCTCGAGAGGGTAGTGCGGATAATAGCACCGCCCAGCAGCAGCAGGGAAACGAGTAAAAGCCAGGACTGCGGGGCGGGTGCTGGCTGATGTTAAAAGAGCCCCAAGGATTTCGATCTCACAAACCCATGATGGGAACAGCCTAATCATCAAGGGCGAAGTCAACGGAACGCCGTGTAAACTGACCATAGACACTGGAGCCTCTCGCACGGTTGTCAGTTCCCAACTTATAAGTCGGTTCCTTGGGGACTCCGCATACAACCGAGAACGCATTAATTTGGTGACAGCCACCGGTCAGCGCATACCCGTCCGTGGAGAGAAGGAGATGGAGTTGAAGCTAGGCAACATGATCTACCTGCATAATG